CATACCTTGTGTAATCTGATGTTTGTGGTGCTGGTACCAATGGTTTTCAGGAACTAAAGAAAAAAAAAAAACGAGAAAAACAATGTAACTTTGAACTTAGATCAAGAATGGAATTGCAGAGATAATCTACGTGACGGGTTTAAGCAATTGGCGGAAGTACTCGGCCTGGTAAGAAGAAGAAAGGGGAAAAGGATTAATTAACCAGAAAATAACAAGAAAATGAATCAACTACTTTAGATTTCAACAAACCTGGCAATTCTGCAATGGTTGAAAGCATGCGATAACTCTAACTATAATGGTTGCTCGTCCAGGAATCCCACTCTCATGTTTTAAAGCCTTAAATTTTGTCTGACTTGCCGATTGGCACACCATAACTTCTTTCTATTTTGGGATCAACTTATAAATGGATCCAACCGTGGTGTTTCTTTGAAGCAAAAAAGGAGAATATGAGGGTATGGATATTTGAACCAAGGCTGGGAATAGCTAAAAACTGAAATTGGATTCAGAAGGTATACAAATTTAGCTAATCATAATACAGATGTAACAAGCAGAGAAGCAAAGGCGATGGGCATCCATGGATGATTGATTGGATAGTTAATAAGAAGACTTTCTGTTTAAGGTAATCTCAAGGAATAAATGAGAGTTCTTTACAAAATGACCCTGCAATACAAGTTCAAGGAGATAACGTAGTAAAACACATGAATTGGGAGGCACAGCCACCACATGTTTTTTTTTACTGAATGAACACCATACACAGCTCTTTAACCCCTTCTTAGTTATTCCAATCTAAGCTTTTCCTGGAAAATTTACAAAAAAAGAACAGATTATTAGTGTTTACTGAACTTGGCAATGAAATAATCAAGACTCACATAAAAGAATGAGGCCAAAACTAACACTGAAGTTTCAAATTTGGGTAATTATAAAGTAGGTAGAGTTAGCTGAGCCTTTTTGTTATTCATATATTTTAATCCAACCAAATAAGTAGCAATACTGAAGCATATAGATCATATCATACCAAATCATACCAAAAAAAAATTGAGGCAAGACCATACTAGACCAAAAAGATTCAAACAAGACCAGATGCTATTATTCATAGTAGACAGGACCAAAAACACTGAGTCACTGAGATAAGGTCAAACCAAATCAAAAATATTCAAACCACACTAAGAAGATTTAAATCATTTATGATAATGCTAATTCGTACATGAAATTAGACACTACCGTAAACAATTAGATTGATCAAACCAAACAGAAAGAGATAGAATATACCAAATCACACCATACTAGAAAGATTCAGAGAAAATCGGCCTAGAAAATACCATATATTTAAAATTTCAGATCAAACTTATCAGTCAAGGAGAACAGTTATATAGTAGCCCCAACTTGATAATGGTTTACATTTAAATGCCCCACTACTTGGTTAATTGCCCCACTAATTACATAAATGTCAAAGCTTCAGTACTCTTGGGAGCTAAGTGTACATTTTGTTAAGCAGTTAAGCTCGAAACTCAAGTGTGACTTTCCCATTAGGAGAATTTTTTATTTAAAAAAAAATAGAGTTTGACTGCGAAAATGCCTTCCTAGGGAACAATCAAACGCGTTCTTAACTTTTTCTCATCAGCATCAAATTAGCTGGCCTTTCAAAAAATTCAGAAAAAATAATAAACCAGAGCACTCAGATTTTTTGCAGACACTATAAAAGGATAGAATCACAAACAAGAAAAAGCATAAATGAACTTCCAAACATAGCTTCAATTTTATTCAATACTTGTACTAAATAGGTGCCATGGGTGTGCTTCAATTAGCTTGGAAACGGTGTAAAATTCATCAATTTTATAGCTTACCTCAGAAACACAAACGATTTTCTGATAAAATCAGATAAAGATCCATAATCAGCATCAAACGCATAGAAAAGATATTTAACTTATATTCTGTATAAAAGAAGCAGATTGGTCAGATGAACTTACAGAGAAGGATCTTGAAGAAAGACTGACAAACGTGCTTGGGGGGATGGAGAAGGAGGTTGGATGCCTGTAGGGTTGGTTATTTGCCTATTATTGGCCAGTAGAGAGGAAAGTATATAAAATGGGAAGTTGGTGGAGGGCAAGGGTCTGTTTGGTTCTCGTTTGTAAGGTCCTCATAATTTTAGTAACAGTTACAGACCGTTTGACAACATTGTTTTTGGGCTTATCAGGCTTATCAGCCAACTTTTTCAGCAAACATGTAACTTTTGCAAAATTGTGTAATAAGCAGAAAAAGTAAAGTTGAAGTTAATTTCTGCCTGTATTGGCTGAAATTACTCTAAATGATCATTTTAGCTATTTTACATATATTTTTTCTTTATTTTATTAATAAAATATATTTTAAAAAAAAAAATCTTAAATTAGCAAGATCAGCCAATGCAGACACTTCAGCCAGAACTTCATAAATTTCAGCAGAATCAATCAAATTACCCGATTTTCGTGCTACCAAATGGGCTCTTAAATTGGGTGAATCGGCTAATTCTACTGAAATTTATGAATTTCTGACAGAATTGACTGGATTGTTTGATTCTGCTGATTTGTGAAAAAAATATTTTTAAAATATTTTTTATTAATAAAATAAAGGAAATATATATATATATATATATATGAAAAATAGCGGAAATGATCATCTACAGTAACTTCAATCAATACAACTATAATAGTAACCTCAACCTAACGTTTTCTTATTATTACGCAATTTAGCACGCTAAATCATAATTTACGTATTTGATGAAAAAGTTGGCTGATGAGTTCGATAAGACGAAAAATAGGTTCACCAAACGGACTCTTGATTTTTTTTTATTGTTTTCTATCAAAGCAATTCCACGTGTGTTTTTGTTCGGCACATTCGATTTAATAATTTAAAATGTTGTTGCAAAAAAAATATTACTCATATTTCTTATGAGTGTTTTTTACAATTTTTATTTTTATAATTTTTATTATTCATTGTTATTGTTTGAAAAAAAACTGCTTTTCTACGCAGATCAATTTACTGCCTATTTATTCTACAATTTTAAATTACAATTTCAAATTCTAAGAAGCCTCAAATATTATTGGAAGAAGAATATAGGAATTCGGAAGAGAATATTTTGAAACTTTTGGAAAAAGCAAAGCAAAGCAAAGCAAAGCAAAAGAGAGAAGAGATGAAATTTTGCACTAAAGGAATGGTTAGTGGGCGCAAGCCCTCTATGGCGCGATGATTGACTCCGTGCCTTGCCTACTTCGGCACTCCATTGCATTAGGCAAAAGTAACACTATTATCCATTCTTAATCTTAATTAAACTACCTTTGACTAACTACATTTATCTTTACTTTATCGCCCAAGAGCTTTTACACATGGTATAACAGTACTATAACTAATAAATAAATACTCCATAAATATTAAGGATGAAGAATCACTTCGTCTTGCTTTGTATAAGTAGAATTTTATCCGTATAGACTGTATAGTTGAGATTGTTATGTAAAGGAAAGATATAATGAGAACTTAAGAGGTGTTTGGATGTACTTTTTACTTACTAGGTGTTTGGATGTACTTTTTAACACGGCTTCTGACTTCTGCTTTTTCAGGGAACAAAAGCACATATTGATGTATTTGGATGAAAGTGCAAAAGTACTTATGGATGCTACAAATTGCTAATAAAAACAATTGTTTAGAAGTTTGAGAAGATCATCTTCCTAAAAAAATGATTCTGATTCTGCTTTGAGAAACAGAAGTAAAATCAATTTCAAAACCCTTAAGTTACTTTAAGCGGAGAGTATAAAAGTTTTTAGTGAAAATAACTAGCAATGTCAAACCAAATAGAGGATACATCATTGAATTTAATGTTTGATCAAATCAAAACCAAACCAAAATGCTCAAAAAAAATTACAACTTGAAAGAAAACCAAATTGAGCCTAAGACAGTCTAAAATGTTTTTGCTTGGATTGAAATTGTACATACGCATACAATGATTAGTCCAGACTGACGTCCAGTGTACATGAATAGTATATCTGATGGATTGGACTTTAGTGTTCATGAATACCTCATGAACACTGGACGTCAGTCTGGATTAGTCCAAGCTGACTGAACGTTCTATTCATGTCTTATCTGATCTGGTATGGTCCGAACTTTTCTGGTAAGGATGTTTTCTTTTGGACTAAAATTTGCTAGTCTAGTCTGGTCTAGTCTGAACTGATTTGATCTGATAAACGTCTGTTCTCTATGTAGTTTATAACTACGTAAGTCTGGTCTGATCTGGGACTGAAAGCAATCCAAAAGAAAACATCATAAATGTCTGGTCTTTAAATATTTTATAACTATTCAGGTCTAATCCAGTCTAATATGAGCGGTAAAACCATCCAAGTAAAAACATTCCTAATGAACCAATATTATGGTCGAACATAATATGGATTCCGAACCAGAACCATTTTTACATTGTTTAATTTAGTTTTGTAGGAAACCGAGTTGGTTGGCAATTCCGGAACGAACTGAACTCAGAACCAGATTGATATACCAAGATCACAACCGAACCCAAACCCAATCTGCATATATCCACACTATTAGTAAGATTGTTTGGGTGAATAAGTGAATTATCGGAGCAAACTTATTTCAGCCAAATAAACAAGTCACAGGAACTTGTACGGTTGTACCATTCCAACCAATGAACCTATTAATGCTACCAAACAGAGCCTAAAATTGCTTTCCGTTCAGTAATCATTTCCACCACTCTTTTTTAGCAGCAAACACATGAAAACCCAAACGGGATCCGGAATGCTCACCCGTGGACATATTAGTAAATAATGCCCAACTCTACAAGTCATTTTCACTAATGGGGTCATTAAAGAAACCTTGAAAATAAGTACCACCAACTTGTTAACCTTCGACCACTCGTGCAGTCGTGCTGCAACAACAGTAACAAGTATGATTAATCCCCATTTCCAGTTACAAAGCATGCCTAACCAACCAACCAACATATGATACACACAATATTCATCCATTAATCATAACCGCAACATAGCTTAATTATGAATTATACCCAACACAAGTAAACACGTGTATGATAATTGATAAACTCCCATTTATGCAGGAAGTTTCTGTCTTAACAAAGGTAATTTATGATAGAGCATGAAGAAAAGGTGGCAGTCAGATTTGCATTGTACATGATAATAAAGAGTAAAGAGTGAAGAAGGTGATGAGATTTTCAACTGCTAGGATTATTCAACACGCAGGACTTCAATCTCAAAGTTGAGATGCGAATTGGGCTGTATACCCCAAGCTGGAAATCCCCCAGCACCATAGGCATAGTCGGGAGTGCACTGCATATTATATCAGCAAAATCCAATCCAGGTGAGGTCTCAAATGCAGTAAAGCAAAAAAACGTCATTTATCCAAGAAATATATGATTAAAATAAAGATAGTCGACAAAGAATGTGACCATTCATACATATTGACCATTATAGTAACTTATAATGACTAGCATTGTGTTCACGTTTACACCATCAAGAATACTCAATAACTGTAGTCACTTTTGTCCGTAAGTTTTATTTCAATACTATTTTATGAAAAACCTATTTATTCAATCGACTAAGAAGGTCAGGACAAAGTTAACTAAGGTGACTATTTTTCGGCTTATCAGGCTTGTCAACCAATTTTTTTAACCAAACACGTAACTTTTGATTTCGCGCGCTGGGTTGTGTAATAATAAGAAAAAGTAAGTTTGAAGTTACTTTTCTAGCATTATTGGCTGAAATTACTGTAGATGGTCATTTTAGCTATTTTTTCATATATACGAAGTATATTTCTTTATTTTATTAATAAAATACTCCCTCTGTGCCGCTAAGATTGTCCCTGACACTATTCACTTGGTCAACAGAAATCATTCTTAATCCCGTACTTTATATATCAAATTTTTATAAAATTTGATTATGGTTTTTGCGACTTTGTAAAGTTTTTAATGTAGTTTCTGAATGTGTAATTCTTTTTTTCTAAAAATAATTTGAGTGTGGACAGGGGTCTATTTGCTTTATCGTCGGTCAAACATCGTAAACCGAATTGTCCCAAACATAGTGGGACGGAGGTAGTATATTTTAAATATAATTTATTCAAAAATCAGTAGAATCAACCAATACAACCATTTCAGCCAAAACTTCATAAATTTCAGCAGAATAAGCCGATTTAACCGATTTAAGTGATGCCAAAAAGGCTCCAAGTCTTTACCTTTAACAAAGCTAATTCTCCTACTTGCATGTCCAAGACACCTTCATCCCACCCTGCAAATATAATATGTCTTAGCAACAACAGGATATATGATGAAAATCAGCGAATAAAGTATTTATATACTTTTTTAGTTAAAAACTCTACAAAAATCATTAAAACTCTTTGCCTAATAGAACCCTTCACAATATCCTATGTAATAACTGCCAGATAAATTTATGATCTTCAACAATTTCCTGTAATATATGCATATAATCCATTCCTATGTATGTCAGATAAATTTGTGTCTAGTATTTGAGAAAAAAACGGAATCTAGGATCTCAAAATTGTACCTACCACCCTACGCTAATTATAACATCTAAGATTATAATTTCAAGTTATCAAAAAGAAAGGAGCGAAGTTTTAAAAATAATTTAATGACATTATTCTAGATCGCAGGCATAACGATTATTTAAATATATCAATTTGAAAATTGAAGGTTCAGTTTGTGAATTTATAGGCATTATTATAAGTATTTCAAGAGTTGAACTAATCTTTATAAATTTAAAATAGGGAAATTATCATTGACCCCCTTGAGGTTTGATGCATTATCAATCACACCCCTATACTATCAAAAATATACTCTTACCCCCCTCTATATCCTTTAATGATGGTTAAATAACTATTAATCTACATTTAGAGAAAATTATGAATATAATTTCATAATTTTTCTTTGAATCTGCTTTTAATATTGTAATTATATTCAATCACAAATCTGGTCAGGTAATTAATAAATTTGTCCATATTAAAGACCTTTCTATCAGAAGTCGAACCAAAATAAAAAAAAAATTACCAAAACTGACCTCACTCTAGGTAGTTCGTTTTATGCATTTGAATTTGTAAAGTGAGTAAATTTACTCAATTAAAAATGATCAAAATATGCTAAATTTGACAAAAACTGAAACAAATCAACCTAAATAAACCAAACCGACTCAAAAGTAAAGTTTACTACTCGATTTTACCATTAAAAATTGAATGCAAGAAAATTCCCAATTTAAACACTCTTTGTTATCACTGAAAATGAGATCACTATAGGTATAATAATAACTTGTAGATTTAAATATTTGATAAAATATGAACATGTTTACATGTAAAATACTAGTAAAGATATTCTAATTTAGGATGAGTTCCACACCCAATAGTAAGTATTGGGCATCTTTCCCTCGTTACAAAAGTGTTACCAAAATTTCTTCAATCTCGGATATATTTTCAAACTTTTAAAAGTAATAGCGATTTATTGTTTTAAGCTTATACCTTTCGATTGTGTCTGCTACTAGTCCTATAATTTTACTCACATGTAATTGTAGTTATGTACCTAATAAATTTGTCAATAATAAGGGCTATTTCATCATAAAGTATGCGTTCCCGTAACAAAAGTATGTTATGGTGGAAAGATTCTTAATACAAAAAAATTTATTAATAATCAAATTAAATCTACTAGTGAGTAAATTTATAAAACTAAATTCATACTTTTGATAAACGTAATTAGGAGTTAATAAACTTTCATTAAAGGATATAGAGGGGGTAAGTGCATATTTTCAATAGTGCAGGGGTCTAAATGATAATACATGAAACCTCAAGGGAGGTCAATGATAATTTCCCTTTAAAATAATCAGTTAATTATAGATTAGAATGATTAAAAGTGAATTATTAATGAATAAATTTAATTTAAAAAAATCAATTTTGTTGTGTTATAAGTAAGAAAAATCAATTTACAAATAACAAGTTCTTCATTACACTGTACGATATTAATACAGTATTTTTTTTAAGTCATGTGGATCTTTCTTAAGAGGTTAAACTGCTTTGGGACAAATAGTTCACCAAGCCTCTCAGTCCAATCCAAATTGTATAACATTGAGGGTGTACAAATGGAATAAACACGTCCTAAACAAGTTTATTTCAGCAATTTTTGTTGTTTTAAAGTAAAATGATGAAAATTACAGTGGGGGCAAACACTTCAACATTTTTTTTGTGTTTTGAAGTAAATTGTTGCATAAAAAAGAAAAGAAAAGAGCTTTGGTAATGATGCAGACCTATTCTATTGATTACAAGTTCGAAAACTATTTTGCTGATAAGAAACTAACTACGCAGAGAGGTCTGTAGAGTCAAAAGTGATAGAATTGCTTTTCCCTATACAACTTTTGTTTGCTGAAACTTTACAAAAATGGTCCAATATTATACAGTGCAAATGAACCTACTGGAACCATAGCATTTCTGGAGATGACGCAGTAAACTAAGGGACGGAATGGGGTTCAAGATGAATTTGATTTGTATTTTTACACTACAGAAACAACAAGATAAAAGTTTCAGCATGAAAATATCTTTAAATGATTTCATTGAATGCCACAGTTTCAAATACTTTTTAAAAGTATTGATTGGATTTTTCCAAAAAAAAAGTATTGATTGGATAACATCGTAACCCTAAACCCTTTGAAAATATTTAATTGATACACCAAACGGCATGTTCAAACATTTAATTCAAAAGGTATATCTACACAGCTAAGTGTCTTTTTAAAGCATATAAAAGAATAGACTCATAAATAAATTCTAATCACTAATTTTAAAATAAACTAAGATTTTCAGCTTATAGAAATAACGTTATTAATGAGTTTATTAGTTAGCTACATTATGACTCATGCCGCTTCTAATTGTTTTTGTAAAAATAATTATAAAAACTTCCTTACCTCAATTGCCCTATTGCCACCTCTAGGCTCAATGACCTGTGAAATGAATGTGTCGAAAAGTAATACTCCCTTCATTCTGCGATGTTCTTTCCCTTACTTTTTACAGTGTTTAGGAAGTAAAATGGTGTGGTTGAGATTTATTTGGAAAGATAGAATCAATGCATTCGACATAATTCTTTCCTTATGAAAATATGAGAACTCTTAGGGACGGATCAAAAGGAAGAAGAAAGAATATTTTGGGACAAACTAACTAACTAAATATGGACTTCAGCAATGGATAAAGGTTGGCTTCGGAGGATGCCCTGTTAAAAGATGAAAATACTTTACCAATACTAATCCCTGTTTCCTAAAATGCATAAATGTATAAAAAGAGAAAAAGCACAGAAAGGTATACAAAACATTAAAGTATTGAACAAGTAAAAACATATACTGAAGTATTAAGACCATTTCATCTCACATCATAATAATTGGACATGCCATATTTACTTGAGTTTTTTAACTAAAATAAACCATTAATTAAAGAAAGAAAATTAAGAATTGGTCTTAATAGTTTCACATTTAAGGTACATGATCAAAACTTTCATACTTCAAGCAAAAAGATTAAATTCAACAACATGCTTAAACGTACCTTTGATAACTTGTCCCTGACCAATTTGAAAAGTAAAAGGCTTTTGCCCAGGATCTTTTGTGCTGTTGCAAATCATAGTCCGAAGTATTAATAGCGAAACAATGCCACGAAACATGCAAAGATCTCACATTTTTTATAAGCCTTGCATTTTTAAAGGGAAAACTCTGCCGAGGCTCTGAAATTCAAATTTCTGTTCACTTAGACTTACCTCCAGAATTTCTGAGAAAGATCTCCCTTTTTGCCTGCAAAATGGAAAAAATAAGCTACTAATAAGAATGTGGAGATTTATTTTGTACAGGAAAAGCATCTAGTCTAGATTAGATATGCCAAAGATGCTGGTAATGGTTAAGAGCCGAAATATTAACCGTAGCCGGTGCAGTGGACGGTGACGGTCTGACCACGAACTGGCTTGGGACCGGTACCTGCCCTCACAAGTTCCTTCTCGACTCCCATTTCGTCGGTGATTTGAATGATCTTCCGATTAGGGTTTCGGTGTGAAAAATGCCGCTTGTATGTAACGGCTCGGCGGCCGTAGATAACTGATAAATGTTTTACGGAGTACAAGGCTACAAAGGTGTCCACTGTCCAGTAATCCAGTACACGTAATAGGAATACTCTAGACCTCATATTTCATTCCAAAATACTCATCCGTCCCAAAATGGTTGGCCAAATTTCCTATTTTGACCGTTCCGAAAAGGTTTATCATTTCCATTTAAAATATGGAATATGTGTCTAATGTTAGTTCTCTCTCCTCTGCACAAATTTTAATCACACAGTTTTTACTTTATTAATCCACGTGCAAAGTCAATATTGGCCAACGATTTTGGGACGGGGGGAGTATATACTAGAGGATATAAATGTTATTTATTTTAGAAAAGTAAGACAGATAACATGAGATTTAGATATCTTACTTCAGGAAACAATTGCCCACATGAATTGAATCGTCACCAAAAATTTTACCCTAGCCGAGAGCTGAGGGTGTTTTCTTTGTCGTCTGCGTGCGGCGCGAGTCGAGGGCGAAGGTCGGAGTAGCGGTCTTGTGGAGCGATGGAGAATACTGAAGGCGAGGGGTGCAGGACGAGCTGTGACCAGGAGCTTCCACGCGCGGGTGGGTTCGGCAGTTTGCTATTTAGCGAGCGGCGTCGAGATGGGCTTCAACAACCACGACGAAGGGCTGATGGCGAACCAGGGGCTGGGATGGAAGCCGCCGGTGATGAAGGGAGCAGTGGGCTTCGAGAACAGGAGAAAGGACAGGTTGGGGAGATTGTGGCTAAGTATGGAGGCTTGGGAATTGGGGGTGTGGAGGACGAATTGCTGATTGGAGATGATGAAGATGGGGACGGGACAGCAGGGGCAGCGAAGGCAAAGGAATTCACGGTCGTGGTGAAGGTTCTCACGGACAAGGTTATCCGATTTCCGTTCTTCTGAGGATTTATGGCTGAGCTATGGCACCCGGGAAGAGGTATTGTCATACAAGAACTGGGTGAACAAAGGTATCTGTTTAAGTTTTTCATTCTGTTGATATGAATCGAGTCCTGGAAAATGGACCCTGGCTGTTTGAACAAAATTTGCTTGTGTTAAAAGCTGTTAAACCGGGTGACATCCCGTCTAAAATGGTGCTAGATGAATTTGAGATATGGGTACAGGTCCATAATGTGTCGTATGACTTTGAAAATTTGGGTACGGCAAGGAGAATAGGGAACTATCTGGGGGAGTTCATCACATGGGATGAACAAAATTTTAGTAGTAAAAAAGAGGCTTATATGCGTGTGCGGGTTCGTATGAACACTAATAGAGCATTAAAGGTTGGAATTACTTTAAGGAAGAGTAAGGGTGAAGGGCTCTGGGTAGATTTTAAATACGAAAAAATGCCAAGCTTCTGTTTCTGCTGTGGCATGATTGGCCATGCTGAGAAATTTTGCCCTTTGCTGTACGAAAAGGAGGGACAAGCTATGATTAAACCATTTGGGTCGTGGCTTAGAGCAAGTGGTAGGGGTTCAAAATCTGAGATGGGAAGCAAGTGGTTAATAACGGAAGGAAGTGTCTCTGGCGATGATATGCGTTTGGCTCAGTTTGTGAAACCAGGGCAGGAGTGGGTCTCGGAGGAGAAGGGGGAGAACACTTTTGCGGGTGCGGGAGAGGGGGTGGTCTCAGGCGAGCCCGAAGAGGAAGGAATGATCGGAGTGCTGAAGAGGAGGCGCACTTGGGAGGCCCAGGCAAGGGAGGCTGCTGGATTGGATGCAATGGCGTTGGACTCTCCAAAAACGGGGTTGGGGCGGGCGCTGGTCTCCAGCCCCGCCAGAGGACCTGATGCTGGTTACAACTTTTTTAGCTAAAGAACTTTTTTATTCCAGTTATTGCGTTTTATTTATTTTCCACGTTCTGGATGTTGTTTTTGTTTTGATGCTGCTGGGGTTTTCCAGCAAGAATACTTTGATAGCTAAAACAGGTACTGATGTGTCGTGTCTACAAGTCATAGGCTCAGGTATGCACAAAGCGGGATCAGCGAATTATATGGCTTCTACGGAGGTGATTAATTCAGAGTCTGGTCTTTGGGTGGACGGTAGACAGGGGACTATTCGTCACACGGTTACCTGGATTAGTTTGGTCTGTTTGGTCTGTTTTGGTATGATATATTAAGCCAGTTTCGTTCAAAAAAAAGATATCTTACTTTAGGATAAGTATTTTTTCATTATCTTCACGAGGAACAAAATGAATCATCATGCATGTTGAGTGATCGAATCACTATTGGTCAAGTCACAAGACGAGATATGTTCATGTAGATTCTTTTCAAAATTTTCTCGATGTAATTTGATTGATGGATGAACTTTTCATTCTTCAAATTCTCTAATTCAAGCTGTAGACAAAATTGGTTCTTTTAAGATCTTTTATTTTTTAAATATTTCTTTTAAGATCATTCATCACAAATTCTTTTATGAAATATTTTACAGTAGCTTATATTTCATTAGAAGTTTCAATAATGTTTAAATCGTCAACATATGTTGTAGTTATGAGAAACTCAAATTAGATCGTTTTTTGTATCCTTATTTGAGAATATATTCACTGAGATGATTGTATCACGTTCGTCTAGACTATTTTAGTCCATACACTAATTTTTGTAATCTTATGGAAAACATTTCTTGAGATTTCAAGCTATTTGCTTCTGACATTTTTAATCCACCGGGAACTTTCATAATATATTACCACTAATCAATTAATCGCATTTGTATCCTTTCAAAAACGGTCATGCCAGTTAGAAATTTTAACGTAGTTACATCAACTATATATCTTTATAATGAATTGATTACATCTGAAAAACCCTTGAACAAAAACTCGGGCTATATATTTTACAATATCAGTCTTCTGATTGCATTTGCACACAAATCAGATTTAAAATCCACCGGTTTCACGCCTTTTGACGTGAGTACTATTTGTTCAAAAACATCACGTTTAATAAGTGATTTTAATTTTGCTTGAATAATTTAATTCCATTTTGGTCAAGCATGTTTCCTTCGACATTCATATATTGTTATTGCCTCATTATCATTGTTTTCCTTCGTTGCATTTGTGGCAATGTCATATTTTTTTAAATCATCAATCCCAGTCATATCTATATCTATATAATATAATAAAGCAAACCCTTAGAGGAATGCTTTGAAGAAAGTTTTGACATGTGGCAACATCTTTCATGGGAAATTCGCCAAGTGCCAGCTCCATGCTAAATTCTACTTCATCTTTCAATATAGCTCCATGCTTTGAGTGAGTTGCATACTATGTACGTAGTACATGACATAAAAATATGTTCACAATATTTTTATGCATTTAATAAAAGAAGATGAAAGGAAAACCTATTCAACTTATAAAATTGAATGTGTACAAATATAAAGGAAACCTTTCTTAGCTTCTTAGCACACGTACATGCTATGAAGTATGTACACGTGATTTATAAGTATTTTAAAAGATGATGGAAAATTGGTGCAAAATGACACGATCATTTAGACGGTAATTAAATATGCTAATTCGAATATATTTTGAGTTATAATTTTGATAATAATTGAGATGTTATAGATGTATTGTTTTTAAATATTTGATGATTAAATTTTTTATTTAAGAGTGTTAATTATTTTCTAAATTTGAAATAAATACCTTTAAATGGGATGCTCAAATATTCAAGTGTGAACCTTTGAATGGGACATATGAAGTATATATTATACTACGTATGTAGCATAACATATGAAACCCTAATCAGCATATGATGTCCCCGGCCTTATAAACACATCACGTATTAGCTCTTGCATTAAAGAAAAATTAGCTATTGTTTATCCAAAATGTACTTTAGTATACTACTCGTATCAATAAGTTATATAATACGTACTATATAGGGGGAATATTTAAAATACCCCAAACATGTGTATGTAATTTCAATATCCAGAACTTAATATAAAAAGTTATGTTAGAACCATGAACATATAATTTACAACATAAGTTATGACTATAAATTTTAAGTTAATATATGACTATGATGTTAAAATAACTTTTTATGTAATTTTTGGGGTTATTTACATTACACATGCAAGTTTGGGGTATTTACCTCACACTCCTTCAATAGTATGTCTCCCTATTAGGGGGTGTTTGGATCCGATTCTTAAAACTGTTTCTGCTTCTTCAGGGAGCAGAAGCTGAAGCTGAAGCGTTTGAGTGAAAGTTCAGAAGTGATTCTGATGCTCTAATTTACTCCTAGAATCAGTTTTTATAGAAGCTGGGGGGTGACCAGAGGCTTCTGAAAACTAATTCCGATTCTACTTCTGCTTTAAAAAAGAAGTAGAAGCAGAATCAATTCCAAACACCCCTAGATAATAGTATATTTAAATATCTTAAAACACATATGATACTAGGATCTTTAGTGTAATTGATATACGAAGAGAGTTTGAGCAAGAGAACAAAAAAGGTATCATATGGAGTACTTAAAATGCCCTTTCTATTACAATATGTCTATATGACAAATTGTGCCTCGAATGTTTGAGTATTTCCTCCATATTGAAATGTTTGTTATAATAGAATTTGTCACAATAACAACAACAACAACAATAGATTATTAATCTAGAAAGAAGGGAGAGCTAGAGAGATAAAGTGATATGTATAAATGATTTTCCAACCCTTTAGATGGTTCCCATAGGGGGTATTTATAGGAGAAAAGTAGGTTAGGCTTCCGGGCTTGGTGCTGGCAGACCAGTTACAATAAAAGGCCAACAAATGGCTAATAAATGATATTTAATCTATTTTAATCGGTGTACATGAATAAACAGAGTGTACAATGATGTAAATGCTATCTGTTGAGCATGTGTGGGCCGCTGTCTGAGCCCAATAGTATAGAGACCGGGGGTCCGAGTCCATATACTCAATCAAATAACAACAACAACAATAATATATATTATAATTGGAATAGTAATAATAGTATTAGTAATAATAAACGTAATAGATCATATTTGATTTGCTCTGAATGTTTCATGTTTGATGCGAATATTTGTGAGTTGATCTGATCTTTTTATATGATTTACTTGATCTCTATCATTCTAGACTAATCATCTAATCTGAACTAAATAAAATTAATAAGCAATAAAATTTAGACAAATATAACAACCCCTAGATCGCATAGTCTACCACATTAACATGTAAAGGTGGATTCATTCTAGACTAATCATCTAATCTGAACTAAATAAAATTAATAAGCAATAAAATTTAGACAAATATAACAACCCCTAGATCGCATAGTCTACCACATTAACATGTAAAGGTGGATTCATTCTTTTGTCTAAGTTT